GAACGAAACTTAAACCTGGACACAGAGAAAGGAAACATTAATTACTTAGCAGAACAAAACTTTAACCTGGACACAGAGAAAGGAAACATTAATTACTGCAGTAAATCAATACACACAAGAACGGTGCCCCATTAACCTGCTTGCTGATGAGCTCAAGGCTCGGAGTATATTTAGTCGAATGTGTAAATCTGAAGCAACAGCAGAAAATCCATGTTGTTTAACCAAATCTCCTATATTTGAGCTGTAATTAGGACGGACACTGTGAGGGAACAGACATAATGGATCTTATTGATCTGAGGACGTCCATCCAGTGACGTCATACTGTAGTCATGCATAAAATAGATATATATGTTATAGGTCCTTCTATATATCCTATATAATTATTATACATTTTTTTTTCAATGATGAAGTATTACAATGCTTAGCTTCCTTGGTGGGGGTTTTCTTAACATGGTCTTATTTACTTTTATCATTCAAATTTAAAATTTATTAATTTCATAGACATTTTGGGTTTCTCTTAGTCAATATTTCTTTCTTACAGCCATTTTTTGGGGGTGGGGGTGGGGGAGTCTTCTTGTGTCTAATACAATTTTGCGTACAATATGTCCTCAGTGTTCACTGCTATCTGTCTCTACTAAAGTGGCTATATCATTAAATTATTAATTGTTTACTTAACATTACACAGCATAGTATTTCACTAACAAGCTCTGGATTGATTTGGAAGAAAAAAGTTGGCACATCTTTGTTTTATGCAACAAAGCTGGAGGCTAGACCATGATACAGACTCTCGTATTTCTGTTAAATGTCCTTTTAATCATTCAGCTAATACTGTAATAAAACAAGTTTACAGGGACATCGTGTCAGACACTCGACTGCTGTGGGAACACTGATAGGAGAGGGTTTGAAGTGAGACGCCCCCAGGGGACGGACACCATTCAAACTCCACCATTATGATAGCAATCAGTTGCCGGAATGGAAAAGCATCATGAAAAATTAAGTCATAGTGTTCCCTTTTTAGACTGAATAGCACTTAACAAAGACAAAAAGATGAACCCTACATCATACAGAGGCAAACTAGTCATTTACTCGCCATATTAAAACAACAACTGTCAGACTAATTTCAAAAGCTAAGATTTATTCCTGCTGTAACTTGCTTTTGTGTGTGTTAATTTTAACCAATTTTAAATTTGAACAGTACATCAGGTGTTCTCTGAGGCTTTAAATTGGGTCTTTTCTGAGGCTGCAAATCAGGTGATCTGTGGAGACACTTAATGATCAGGTACCAGTGATCTCTGAGGACCATTTATAAGGTGCTCTCTGACGATAGCCAATGTGGTGCTCGCTTAGGGCCACTTATATGATCAGGTGCTCTCTAAGGGCCACCAGGGCCACCAGGGCCACTGATATAATCAGGTGCTCTCTAGATCTAGGGCCACTAATATAATCAGGTGCTCTCTGACGATGGCAAATGTGGCGCTCTCTAAGGGCCACCAGTCAGGTGCTCAATAGATCTAGGGCCACTAATATAATCAGGTGCTCTCTAAGGGCCACCAGTCAGGTGCTCTCTAGATCAAGAGCCACTAATATAATCAGGTGCTCTCTGACGATGGCAAATGTGGCGCTCTCTAAGGGCCACCTGCAGTCAGGTGCTCTCTAAGGGCCACCTGCAGTCAGGTGCTCTCTAGATGTCTAGGGCCACTGATATAATCAGGTGCTCCTCTCTTTGAGCCACCAGTCTGGTGCTCTCTAGGGCCAATGATAGAGTGCTCTCTTCGGGCCACCAGTCTGGTGCTCTCTAAGGGCCACCAATCAGCTGTTCTCTGAAGGCAACCAGTCTGGTGCTCTCTAAGGGCCATCAGTCTGGTGCTCTCTTCGGGCCACTGATAGAGTGCTTTCTAGGGCCACCAGTCTGGTGCTCTCTACGGGCCACCAATCAGCTGTTCTCTAGGCGTCTAGCCAGATCAGGTGTTCTGTGAGGGTTGCCAATCAGGCTCTCTCAAGGGCCACTAATCAGGTGCCCTATGAGGTGGATACTAGCTCTCTCTCTCTATATATATATATACAACATGTAGGTGCTCCCTAAGGGCCACCTAACAGCTGTTATCTAGGTGTCTAGTCAGATCAGGTGTTCTGTGAGGGTTGCCAATCAGGCTCTCTCAAGGGCCACTAATTATAATCAGGTGCCCTATGAGGTGGATACTAGCTCTCTCTCTATATATATATACAGGTGCTCCCTAAGGCAGATAATCAGGTTCTAATCATTAGGAGCTAAATAAAATCAGGTTATAAACTAGGTGAGACCACTATATATCTGGTTCTCTCTGAACCAAACAGCTGTGATTAGGGATACAGTATAAATACTGTAATCAAAGCCCAGGACTGTCTGGTGAGGACCGGCTCTAATACAGCCATGGGACAGCTAAGGCTTATATTATATTATACTGTAATATTTCACATTTCATGATTTAGTTACCAGCCTGTAAATACCAGTAGTCAGTTTATATAACACACAGAAGGGACAATAACAGTTATTACGTTTTTACTTTTATATCTATCTAAGTAATACACATCAAATGGACATTTGTGTGTTCGGGTCCAGAGCCCATATATATTGGATCATAGGATTGTTATTATTACTTATGAAACCTATCAATATATCTATATATAGACGTCAATACTGAATCATTCATGTTAGTTCACCAACTACTGTCAATGGAAATGTAGCTTGATCTATGAATCATATTTATAATGTTTTTAATTTATACATATGCTCGTCCTAAGAGCCGTTTATAGATTATAATTAAACAAATATAAACACACATCTCCTAGTTTTTGTTTTGATTTTAGGTATATTCTTAAAAACATACAAATATATATGTACATTAATTGTATTCAGTGAGTAAGGGAAATAGTCATAAAGAAACAATGCCTACGTTCAATAGTATGTATATCTGATATATATATATACATTAAAAGAAGCAAATTTTGAGCTTAGTGAGCATGCCAGCATTTACATAATGTTGTAATTAATAAATAAAATCCTGTTTGTTATTTCAACAACCTACATGTAAATCAGTTTGAGAGAATGAAGAAAAAATATAAAAAGGGGATTTTAGTTTTTTTTTCTGTTTTCTACTTTATAAAGACTATGTAGCAGATTTATGCATTATTTCACAGTATCCTAGCTGACCTAGGATTTTTTGCTGTTTGAACTTTATACTGTTTGAAAGTTAATAACTTTCATCCCTAGCTTTCTTAATTACATGCACATACATATGATGTAGAAATTCATTACCAATTCAAGACATGTATTGCCTTGTTTTACAGCTAAACACAGGCTGCTTGCCCTAGCAAAAACAAGCTGTCTTTTCCCAAATTAAAATGAAGAGAAAAAAGTATTTCTATATTTTCCCCAATATAGGCTCAGGCTTATGTAACATTAACACTGGATTCCATAGGCACAGCTTTGCACTTGTATGAACTGTGTTGTAGGTACACACATAAACAAAATATTTAGAGTTCACATTCCAGTCTTATCTATCATGATCATGCACCAGATATACAGAAGATAGAAAGAACAGACCACTCTTACCTAACGATAGGTTATACTGGTCAATTACGTATCAGGGCACAAGTTCTAGTTAAATTTCAATATGAAAGATTGTACAGGCATAGCTCATAGATTAAGACTATAAATCATAAATTAAAATTTCATTACATAATTCATTTAACCCTTTCAACACTGTAGACCATAATGGACTCATCCATATCAATGTATGGTAGAGTCTACTAAAGTTACATAGGGGTTAAAGGGTTAAATGTTAGTAATCCCATTTTTTTGGGCAAAATATTTGAAAATTTATTGTTATTTTTGTGTTACTGAAGACAAAATAATTATTAAAAACCCTTCTACATACAATTTAGTTTTATAATTTTGATAAATTGTGGATTTTTGTAAATACATATGTATTACTAGATTAAAGTTTTACATCAACCTTTAGTTAAGCTAATCAGACACTAATATTGTGTATAAAATTAGCTATGATGCAACCTGTCACTATAAGATACACCATGAATCATCATACATGTATGTGTTGGAAGGGATGTAATACGAATATAATCTAAATGTCATTTCTTAATGGAATCAATTATGATCCTTCACAGCATGTCATGTGACATCATAGGTGAGAACCCTTAAGGATCCCTGTCCCATAGAAATTATTTTTTGAGCTATAGTCATACTGAAGAAAACAGTTTTCATTACTTAATTACAGTTTTGTGCAGTGGTACAAGGATCTTTAACTCCAATAACCAGTACAACTATAAGGTGAGCGCCGGCCCAGGGCAGGTGACAGTTGTACAGGTGTTGGTTGGTTGGTTGGTTGACGGGTTTCGCGCCTACGTGAATCTGAAGTCAGTGTTCTGTCGGCATTGTACAGGGGTGACCAAATTGAACTTAAATATATCCCAGAATAGTCCATGTGATGTTTATTTGAGAATATCTTGGGATGGGATAACATATACATAACATATTTATAAACAGCACTACAGTCCAGGGAAGTTCAGGGAAGATGCATTGAGGTATTTTAAATAAGTCTCATGGCAGAATGATATTCAGATTAGTTAGGGAGTCTAGATAACAGTCTCATTAGTATTTGTGATAGTACAGGTAAATTTTCTCTTCTTAATCACCAATAAACATGTACAGGACACTTCAAATTCACATTTAAATTAACAAAAAGAACAAAAAACAATGTACATGTTTGAACAAGCACAAAATTACACTATGTAGCATACTTTAAGTGTATATTACATACTTTTCAGACACCTTAACTCATTCACCCCTGAAGACACATTTGAACTGTTCCAGTTCAAAGGTTGGAATAGTTCATTATGGAACTTCAGGGGTGAATGAGTTAATGCAACGGTGACAGCTGTGTGCTTTTTTTGACTGACAGATGATCACAATACATAAAAGTATGACAGACTGATATATTTACCTTACAATCCAATAGAGCCACGACATTGCCATGATGAAGGTCTGATAGCTCCTGTAAATGTCAACAACATGACTATCAGATATCCAGCACAGAATATATATATGTATAGCACAATGTTATTTTGAATACAATAGAAATACCATTTCTGTAGCCAATAACCTTAACATGCATTTCTTCACTAAAAAGTAAAGTGAAATTAATGATACTGACATACAACACATCAGAATGATCTGTATGTTTAAAAGTAAGAAATATATGACAAAATATGCACAAAATAACATTCCATCTTCCAACAAAACAAAATTAACACCTAATGCAATTTCAGATGAATATTAATTGTAACAATCTGGCTTAATGTAACGTTAACTTATAATATAAAATACTATTCAGTGTAAATGAAGTTTTACATGTTATACATGTATAATCACCAGGATTATTGTATCGAGAGAAACGCACTTTGAGTATCTTGATCTCTTTGCTGAGAAGGTTCTGAGATTTGGCCAGGTTCTTCTTGGTGATACTTTTAATGGCTACTGTAGTCGGCGGTTTCTGTAATAGAATTTCACGGTTAAGTTTGATTTTTCGCTAAAATACAGGTATTGGAATTGTTTTATTTCCAGGTATCATTTTTTCAAATAAGTATATTTAGTCAATAATGATAACCATTTACTGATTCTATAAATCATTATTTCAATACCAACACCACAACCAACTTTGGAAGTATACAATTCCACCAGTCTGGTCAGCTTCTAAAGCAAACAGACAGTGACAATTTACACTATTTACTATGAAAGCATAATATATATATATATAAACAAGGTGGGTAACTAAAATATTTCAAAATATGCGCTGCCTGCATGCTAGCTAGCTATATATGTATATTAAAATACTCTAAATTACGCTAAAACAGTATGAAATTGTACATCTCGGAGACCAAACTCGCAATTTTAATGCACCAGCAATGCAAGAGCTGTCCTATTTAAACTGAGCTATTTATATATTTTAATTATAAATATATATTCCTCCCTCACACATGCCTGCTGTTATCCTATATATTACTGATCCTCCATCATGGCATGGCGTACTGCTACTGAAAAATCTCCATTTATCCTCAAATAAAACTTTTCCTATTTTGACATCAGCAGACACATTATTAAGGTATCTTTGTGTCAGCAGTCACTATATATATAGATGGCAATGTATATACCTGTACGCTCTACCAGCAGATTTTATGTATGACAGCTTAAAATTTTAATCAATGTTTCCATTCAATTACTCGTCTCTGAATTCAAAATGTCAACATCTTAATATTCATTTGTAAAGTAATTTAAATTCATTGTAACCAAATATTATAACTAATTTATAAAGTAATTTAAATTCATTGTGTACAATTATTATTGCAAATTTACAAATTTAGGGACAGGACTTTTTAGTATAATATTGTGTTGAACAATCCTCCAAAGGAATGTTTTGTTGTCTTATAATTATGTGTCACTGTGAACTTTGTTGACATTCATTTTACGCAGTACGTATAACACTGTATTGTAAAAAAATCCATGTTGTCAAGAAGTGGGTTGCCTTTCTAGATAAATCTATAAATAGCCACTGTTAGGATTGCCTCACACTAGGTAATTTGTTTGTATACATTATACATATATACCTACATGTAGTGTGGTGTATACATAACACCAGTTAGCAACCAACTCATACAGGAGCAAAGAGTGCAATTTTGTTTACAAACATTGAATATTTCATACATATTAAAGATTAGGGAAAAAAAATATGTCCGTTTAGGGTTGCATGGGCAAAAAAACTAGGGTAGGTAGGTCGGAATATTTTTTTTTTGATATTTTTTGTCATGTTATTATGACCCTACTATTGTATGTAAAACAAAAAATTACATAAACAAGGTTCATTTGGAGGCAAATTGTGTTCCATATGATGACATTTAGCGCCAACATGGAGCTGGAAGCCATTTTGAAAGGCAAGGAACCTTCTAAAATCAGCGGGTTTAAAAATAAATAAATATGTGATTACCTTTAAAATTACATATAAGTCTTTAGATAGGATTTGAAAAGTTTTTACAGGATCTGAAAAGTTTTTCTGAGGCATTTTCTAGGAATAATATGTAGAACACAATAAGGATATATTTTCAGTTTGATGCGTTGTATTATAATTCCATATGTTAGTACTTATATATAATTATCATTCATATCTACATTTTATCACTACAAACTGTGGGTGATCCCATTAAAGGACAGATTGACACGCTTGTATAAAGGTGACCTAGTGACATTCTCACAGTTGAATCGTGAACACTTGACCCGCCTTTTCCACAGCTGCCCAGATCTTTGTCACAACTTATACACATTCCTGTATCCCTACAAGGCCCCTATCACTAATACTGATCAGCCATCTTCTAGATATTAATATGCGTACGTCGGCAGAACATTTGTAAAATTTTGATGAGACCAATAATGCAATTGCTATCATTTCCTTGCATGTTGATATATTTTAAATTAATGTTGTAAAAAGCAGTTAGAAATAACTAAAAACTACAGATGTTTTCTTTCACAGTATAATAATGATCATAATCTTAATTTGGGTAAGTTATTACTTTATATGTGATTGGCCATCTGATATTGTGATTTAATTAACAATTACCTTAATTGGGAAATCTTAAAAACAGCAAGTAATATGATAACAATTGAGATATTTGTCTTCAAGTTTTATCATACATTTTGTATGTAAGCTTTAATTATTTGTGGCAGAGTATGGACATGAGTTTCCGTGATCGTTGTCAGGTTTTTTATGTCAGTCCTGAACATTATTTCCAGCATTTTGATGAGTCCCATCATTTAGAGAATCATAAAATGTTGGTCGTGAGTCCCACAGGAAAACATGAGTTCAGTATTGAAATAAATGTACCAAGCTAAAATCTAGATTTCTTACAAATAAATACAATTAATAAACTTTTCCAATATCAAATTATATCTTCTAGCTGGACACAGCACCAGCTACATATCTATACTACTTGATTCACAGGTGAGCCTTTGGGTGATCACTTCACCCGAAGGCAATGGTAATAAATATAAGCATTAATATAAGAACTTCTGAAGTCAAAGTGATGTGCACAAACTGATATGACCATAAGATCAATCATTATCTACAAATATGCATATTTTTAAGGGAAGTTACAGAAATATTACCCTGCTGTTCAGGCATTCCATATTTTTATTTGTGAACACCCTCGAGCTCCAGTACCTAGGAAATTAGGCTGAAGTCTTTCAGATTTCCTAATGCATCCCCCTCCAGATGCCAAAAATTGGAAGCATTTCTCTCTATGTATTACCATGCCACAGAATTAGATTGTTATCTAAGTCCGTGGTATTACAGTTCTGATCACAAAAGTGGGAAATAATTTCACCTTCAATAGATGACAATAAAATATATTAAAACTTTCTTATTTTTAAGATATGATGTTCTATATGGTTTACTGTACATGTATACATATGAAAAGAGAGTGTCAGCGAGATCCATGTAAACATGTTAGTTATATCACGGAATTGTTATCTAAGTCCGTGGTTATATATGTCACATCAATATTGAGGGTTCTC